ATAACTGGAAAAATGTGAAATGTTAACTCTTTGTCAGCTGCCTCTTTTATCTTTATTTAAAAATTTTACAAAATTTGTATCGCAACAATCCTAAAATGGTTCAATTCCGAAATTGCCCTGTGTTGATACAATTTTTCAAAAATATAAATAGCACGAGCTTACAATTGTGCAATAACGTTTAACTTGTTTATATACGCAATATATATCGAGTAACCAAGGCAGCGATCGCATTTACCATAATTATAATGTATTCATTAAAAGCGCAGGTGCGCAATATGGTATACTCAAGACGAAAGTTTATTGCTTTCGCAACAAGTTTCTGGAACGCTATTGTACAGCGATGATTCGCTCGAGATATTACACTTGCCAAAATGAGAATAGTCCGAAATACCTGAATATTATCTCACTACTGCAGTGAAGTATTGCTATTTATCTCATGAATATAACGTTCAGTAGTATGCGCACAATTAAAGACATTTAAAGCTATTTCTGGTTTCATTGAACAATAATGAAGATTAATGAAAGAAGAAATGTAAGCGTTATATTATAATAAAAGTCATATAATATTCTAAGTTTATAATATTGACATGTCTGTATTATAGTATTACAGATCAATCTGATTTTAATAAATTTCAGGATAATATTCCAGTAAGTACATGAGAACGAGCGAGACTGATTAGCCAGTTAATAATAATTAATGAAAATTAGCGATAGGAAGAGAAATCTTTGATATAAGAATATTTTTATAAACGCTATATCTTTTTTTGCTAATACAACTGAAAGAAAGAATAAATCCCTCTCAGTAGTTCTCCTTTATATATATCATAGATCTTCATTAAGTAATTATCCGTTGTTATCTTCGAAAGTGTAATTCTCCCGAAGTTGTCAAAATAATCGGCAGCGAAGTTGGTCTCTTCATAGCAACCGCAAACTTTCCGATAGTTGTACTTCGTGGTGATATAATAGTACATTGCCGGAACGAACGTAAAGTACTCGAGTAAGATATTACATATTATCGCGCATCGTTAGTTCCCTTTTAGCAGCAGTAAAACTTAATTATGAATTTTTATCCGAAAAGTGATGTAATAATCGCCACACAATTGCGCTCTCATTGTCAGATCATCATTGTTAAGATTTTATACTGAGTTATTATTCATTTGCTCTCGCAAAATTTTTTAATGAAACACAGTTATTATCGTTATCATACATAAAATAGTACACGAGGTAATGCAAAAATACGCTAATTCTAATTATTTTGACGCAACTTTCGTAAAATATTCAGGAAAATATTATTTCGTTATAGACTTATAAGAAAACATATATTTTTATCTTCTTTTATTATGTTTATCGCTGCTTTATAATAACAGTGTTAATTAAATTTATTCAGATTTACCGTTTTTATTAAATATATCATTATCTTTGCCAATTGTGTAATAGATTACATTTCTTATCGTATTTGTATAATAAGACGCTAAAAATAATGAATTAAATATTGACATTTTATAAACGAGATTCCTTGTTAATTATAAATGATTTTATGACAGCTTATATCAAAGGAAATTTACCTATCTGTCTGTTTGTCATTTGTTCGTTTATTTATAACTATTTGTTTATTTATTTATGATTTCTCTCAAGACTGATATAATAGCACAATATCGAAATAAACAAATTTTTATTATTTTAATTCATTAAAAATTTAACTGTATAAATATACTTTTATTATTAATAATAATTGTTGTACGTTGTAAATAAATAATTTTTAAAATTTTTTATAAACAGTATAAAAATTCATTAAGATAACCTATTGTACTCGTATATGTATACAGGGTGTTTCCAAATTAAATCGCAAAACTTCGGGAGCGTGTAGAGGAGTAAAAAACTAAGAAAAAAAGTCCTATAGACATATGCTCGT